ACACGCCCGCACAGCGCGCGACGCTCAAACGCAGCGCGGACTATCAGGCGTGGCTGCGCAGCCCCGAACTCGCCGAGCAACAGCGCCGCATCGAGGCCGACCCGCGCCTGCCTGAAGCCGCGCGCGCCGTGCTGGCGGGCCTGTACGACAGCGACTTCGTGGCCCGTATCCCTGACCCGTTGAAAGCCGCCGGCCATGTGATGGATGTTCGCGGCGCCGCAGCGGGGCTGCGCATGGAGTTGGGCGGCGACCTGCCGGCCTACGTGCCGTCCCAGGCTGCCGCCACCTTCATCGAAGCCGACGACGCCGAGGACTTCTACCGCAAGGGGCCTGGCCTCGTCGAAGCCGGGCCGGTGACCTACGCCATGGCCAAGCAGCTCGTCGACGACATGCTGGACCGCCTGGCCTCGGGTGAGGGCGCCGTGCTGCGCTTCGCGCATGCCGAGATCATCTCGCCGCTGGTGTCGGCCCTCGGCATTGCCGGCGAGCATCAGCCCCAGCCGCGCTCGCAACCCTACAGCTACCGCAACAACCCGTGGCGCACGGAGACCGTCATCCCGATGGCGGCCAATGTGCAGTGGGAGGTCTGGCGCAATGGAGCTGGTGATCGGCTGATGCGCATGCTGCTCAACGAAGGGGAGGCCGACTTCAAGCCCGCCTGCGACGCTGCAAGACTGCGACCCGGCAGCCACTTCTACCGCGTGGCGGGCGTGGTCGAGTGCTATGGGCAGCCGCGTCCCCGTGCTGCCGGATGAGCGAGCAAGCACCATCGCGCCATGTCGCTGATGGCGTTGAAGGTCACGAAGGCTTTCGAATCAATGCCTCCTGTCAGCCCTGCAAGGCTTGCTCCTCGGCGCCCCAGCGGGCAGCGGCAGTAGACAGCGGTGACCGTCGCCGGCCCGCTTCGGTGGTCTCAGCGAGTCCACTCCCGGTCACGTCCGACGCTCATGCTGGCCTGGAGCGACAGTTGCGCTTGCTCGCGCGCCACGGCGCGTGACCGTATCGCGATCACCTCTTGGAAGAAGGGGGTGCTTCGAACGAACTTGCCGATGGATTCTGCGAGTTCGCGATCCTCAGACATCTCTGAGTCTTTGAGGGCATGCATCATGTGCCCCCAAGCAAGCGCCGCGTCGGAGCGACTGTTGAAGTACCAATCGCCGGACTTCTTGGAGGGTTCGGGTTCACGGGCGTTCGCAGTCCTGCTGGCCTTGATCTTCCAGTGCCGCTGCGGGTTTCGGTTCTCGCCGCGCACGCATTGGCGTGTGGCTTCGACATCGACGCCTTGCTCGCGCAGTTTTCCGGCATAGATGCGGCGCCAGTACTCCTTGTGGGTCCAGTTCTGCAGACGCTTCCCGGAAGTCGACATGAGGCGCACGGTGAGATGCACATGTGGATGGTCCCGGTCCGTATGCAATGCCATGACGTAGCGGTGATCGGTCAGCGCGGTGCGCGCAAAAGCACGTGCCGCCCGAAGAAGCGCCTGCGGATCGGTTCCCGCTGGACTCGACAGGACCAGATTGATGGCCTCTCGCCTCGTGGAGACCTCGGGGATGAAGGTGCCGGCGTGACGCCATTGGTCGCGCAGTTCGCGCAGGCCCTCGCTTCCCGAGTGCTGCAGGCCACGATCGTCTTCGAGCTTCTCCAATCCGTTCCTGCTGATGTACCGAAAGTGAGCGGCGATCGCCGTCATGCCGCGGCCTCCCCCGGAGATCTTCATGACGGCCTGCGGGGAGCGCCGCGTGGCAGTGGCCCTGATGTGCCACCGAATGGCGGCCGCCGCCTCCTTGGTGGTGATGTGCAGTCGTGGTGTGTGATCAGACCGGACCATGCGGTTCCCGGGATAGAACAGCCGCTCCCCCCACTGCACGAGGATCCGGTCAACCGTTTCGCGGTTCATCGCGGTGGTCTCTTCGTCTTCTCAAGAACGGCGGCCAATTTGCTGGCCAAGCGAAGATGCGCTCGAATTTCAGAGAACCAAAGTTCCACGTCGCGCTGCCGAGCGATCAGTTCAGCGTCCGTGGGCGCGTCTCCGAGCCGGCCCATCAACGCGTTGAGATCGACAGAGATGGCGGCCAGACGGTCCGTGGACTGCGTCAGCGTCGCTGTCAACTGCGCCATGTCCTCGGGCAGGGGTGGCGGGGGGGCTTCATCGATGAGGCGGCTGAGATAGTCGCCCTTGAACAACCCGGCGGCGGCCGCCCGTCTGGAGAGTTCGGCGAACTGGCGGGCAGTGAAGTTGACCTTGGCCTGACCAATCTTGCGCTCATCGGGGACGGCGTATCGAGCCAGGTCGTCTGCATCTGTCGGCATGGGGGCGAGCCATGGCAGGATGGCCTCCCTGATCAGCGCGCCCATGCTCATCTGTCTTCGGTCCGCGAGTGCCTGCAACCGCGGGCCGAGCCCGCGCAGGCTGACATTGACTCGAAAGTTGCGACGTTTCTTCAGCCTGTCCGGGTTATCTGCCGCATCCGGCGGTGGGACGTCGGCAGTCGTGGCGTTCTTCAGGATGGAACGCATGAGGGGCAGCTTTGAGGGTTTCATGCAGCACTCCCTTCAACGGTGGATGTTTCGAAGCCGCCCCTGATGGCTCTGCGCGTTGGGTCAGAGGTGGGGCGGCGCGACGCTGTGCATCTCGAATTCAGACGGTGCACTTCGGCTGGACGACGACATCGAGCCAAGGGATCCCGAAGCGGCCCGATTTCGGCCGTGGTCAGCCCAGCCCGCCTAGTCTGTGAGAGCGCGAGCGCTGTGCGCTCAAGTGCCAGCGCGCATCTGGACCGATGAACGAATTCAGCCAGCCTAAAGAAATGCTGATTCCGTCGTCGCGCGACGGGGCGAGGACATCTGCCAGGCGACCGGCGATGACGGTGCGCGCTTGGTCGGATGCCGATGGAGTTCCCGGAAGAAATGGACCACACGATGAAGCCTCTGGCGCATGGATGTCCAGAGAACTTAGGCGTCCTGGAGCCAAATCGGCGGCTGGATTCGGGGGTAAATCCATCGCAGAAAACGCCAGAAAACTGTGCTAGGAGTTACGTTGCTCGTGCCATCCGGCTTGGAGCAGGTATCTGTCGGGCGTCGTACCAGAAGCCTTGACTTGGGCTATGGGGGCTGGCGACTCCCGCTCTGCTGGGAGCGTTGCTTGTCTTCCGTCCCGCACCTACGTACCGGTTCGGCTTGTGTGCAGCGCGGATGCTTTTGACGCTTTGCGATCGAAGGCTGCTCTAGGGCCGGACTCAGCGGTTTGGCCCCCTAAAAGGCCTCATCGATCGGGTCGCGGAAGCGCTCTGGGTTGAGAAGCTCGTGCAATGGCACTTTAAGTGCCGAGGCCAGTCGTGCCATGTTGTCGATAGCGATGTTTCGAACCCCTCGCTCGACATCTCCTACATAGTTGCCGGTCATCCCGGCTTCAAGCGCGACGGCTTCTTGGGAGAGGTCTCTCAGTAGGCGAGCGCGCTTAATGTTCTTGCCAAATACCTCTCGCGACGTGAGCTGCCTCTTCTTTCCTGTCATGCCGAGAGCATCTCGATATGAGACTCGACTTGCCAGTTGATGCAAGTGTGTTTAACATCAATCAAAGGGTGTTTTGCATGTTCAGGCGGTTGTTTGAGTCCGCTAGCTGAATGCCTCGGAGAACCAACTCAGTCTCATTGCTTTCGATGAAGCGGGTGCAGCATCTCAGGCCGGCGAGGTCTCAGAGCTCCTAGGAGCTTCATCTGGAAAAGCTGTCCGTTTCGGTCCACATTGAGGAGTAGGCGATGAAGACTCGTGACTTCCATGACCAGCATGAAAGCTGGCTGCGCCGGCCGCTTTGCCGGCGCTATGCCATGGTCGTGTTCAACACGCTTTCCAATCTGCAGGCGAAATCCGACCCTGGCGTAAGCCGAACGATCTGTTGGGCGTTGGGCACTCTGCTTGAAGGCGACAGCGAGATGCTGGGTGCTTGGGAAAACTCTCTCGAGAACCCCGCACTTGCGCCTGAAGTGTTCGGTGAATTGCATGACCGAGGCGTTGTGTCGATCAGGTTCTGCGTCGGAGACGTCGCAGGCGCCGAGGCGAAGTTCGTGAACACATTCCGCCATGCTGGGCTCCTGCCTTCTGTCGAGGCTTCTCTTGCCCGCTTGGCCCCGCAGGCTGCTCCACGCCATCGCGCAACGCTGGTGACGAACCTGCGCGCTACGGCGGAGGCCGGGAGCTTGGACGCGGCGGGGGCGGAACTCGCGAAATTGCAAGCGTCAGAACCCGGCAAAAAGTGCGCTGCAATCGTGCGTCAATGGGGGGAGGCACTGGCAGGATTTGAGCCGCTCTTCGACCTTGACGCATCGCTGCGGGAACGGATCAGTTCAGCGGATCGCACAGCTGCAAAACTCAATGAAAAATTGAACCGCGAGATCCAGCGCCACGGGCCGTTCTCCGACTCCGCGGCAGCATTTGATTTTGTCGTTGCCTGGCTTGCAAAAGCCGAACGTGGGCTTGATCGCGACCGTGCCGTGCAGTCGAGTGCCAAGCGGTCCAGCCGGCGATTCAGCCAAAGTCGTCCTTCAGCGACCGGTGCGTCAGGCGTGCCGACCTTGGTCTAAGGAGCATGGCGATGCTTCTCGATTGGCCAGGCATATCCTCGCGAGTGAAATCCGCACTGCGTCGGCGCGGGCAGTCGGAACAAGATGCGAACGAGATCATGCACGACGCCTTCGTCCAGTTTGCTTCCTTCGCAAAAAAGGAAACCGTGAAGAAGCCTGAGGCTTACTTCATGCGCATCGCGCTGAACCTGGCCATCGACGCTCGCCGTGCGTCCTTGACTCGCGGTGAAGAAGTTCAGATCGAAGACGTCGTGATCCTTGACGGCTCGCCCAGCGCTGATGACGTGGTGCTTTCCCGGGAGCGGACCCGCCGGTTGATCGAGGGCCTCTCACGCATGCCAGGCAAGACGCGGGCGATTTTCCTGGCGAGCAAGATGGACGGGATGACTCAAAACGAGATTGCCGAGCGGTTCGGCATGACTCGAAGCGGGGTCGAGTGGCACCTGGCCAAAGCGGTGATGCAGATCACCAGCTGGATGGAGGGTTGGTAGTGACAGTTCGGCCTCGGACCGACGCGTCCGATGGTGCAAAAAAGGGTTCTAAGGTCTCGCCTGCTGTTGCGGCACAGGCGGCGATCTGGGTGACCAAGCTCCATGGCCCCGACCGCTCTCCCGAGATGGAGCGCGGATTCCGGGCATGGCAGGCCGAATCGGCGGAAAACCGCGAGGCATTCGAGAAATGCACGGACGTGTGGATCGAC